ACCCCCAAAGGGGTTGCGACCCACAGGTTGAGAACCGCCGCTCTATAAGAAAACGGTCGAAATAATTAGGAGCTTAAGTAATGTAGCCAATGTATAAGAGCGACATATAAAAACCGATTGGATTCTGGTATACAAATGTAGCACGCTCTGAAAAGGAAATGAAGAAAACAATACCATTTACAACAGCTAGAGAAACAAAAGACGTAAGGAAAGAACACCATAAAACAGGGCTTGAGAAACCAATAGAAACCTACATAAGTAGACGAATACTCCATGATCATGGAGAGGAAGACTTAACATCGTAAATACATGCCCACCTGCCCAAAACAAACAAACAAACAAAACTCCCTGCCATCGAGTCAGTTCCGACTATAGGACAGGGTAGAACTGCCCCGGGGGGTTTTGAGACCGTAACTCTTTACAGGAGTAGAGCCTGGTCTTTCTCCTGATGAAGGCTGGTGGGATCAAACTGCTGACCTCATGGTTAGCAGCCAATGTGTAAGCCACTATGCGACCAGGGCTCCTCCTGCTACACAGAGTGCTCTATAAATACAACACAACGCTGACCCAGATCTCAGCACCATTCTCTCAGGAAATGGAGAAACGAGTCACCAGTTTTATATGGAGAGGAGAGAGGCCCCAAACAACGATAGATATGTAGACCCATGGAACCGAATAGAGAACCCAGAAATAAACCCATCTACCTACAGATAACTGAGTTTTCGTACAGGACCAACATACATGAAACAGGCTAGAGGCAGTCTTATCAACAAATGATTGCTGGCAAATTTGAATATCCATGTGCAGAAGCATGAAGCAACACACACACACTTGGTTGTATACACAGAAATGAACTCAAGATAGAACAAAGGTCAAGTTCATCAATGGGAAGATAGGGACCACTTCAAGGCCCTAGGAAGACTGCATACACGTGCTCTCAAACCAAACACCCACAGAAGACAAAACAGAGGACTGGAATCTCCCAAAAACAAGACTCCTTGTTTTCACAGCAAACGGTTCCTTATCTACATCAAAACATTTCATCAAAACAGTGAAAAACTCAGACTGGGAAAATGGTTTTGGCAATAACAAACTGGACAAAGGCTCAATCTATAAAATCTACAGGAAACTGCAGCGCCTCAACACGAAAACGTCAGCCTGTCAAAAATGGAGAGAGGACATGAACAGGTAGTTCACCGAAGAACACCTTCATACGGGCACCAACACACAAAGAAATGCTCTTGATCACGAGCCACCCCAGAGACCCAAATCCAAACAACGATGAGCTATCACTTCTCGCCGGCATCGAGAGCCAAGTTCAAAAACACAGAATCAACAAATGCTGGCAAGGGGGTGGAGAGACTGCCCCTCACACACGCCCGGTGGGACTGTACATCTGTCCAACCCCTGCGGAAAGTGGTACGGGGCTTCTCCAAACGAGTAGGAGTAGGAATCCCTTTGCTGGGTCGATCCCCTAAAGAATCGAGAGCTGTGGCTCAAACAGAGGCACGCAGACCCGTGTTTCCTGCAGCCCCACGTTCAGAGCAGCACGAACACGAAGCACCCGAAATGTCCATCCGTGGGAAAACGATGAACAGGCTTTGGTACATACACACCATGGAG